CTCACACCTTTTGGGCTCCTAGAGCTCAAAGGTGTGGGATGGCACTGATCTCCTCCCCCAAGCTAACAATGTAGACCCTAAAAGTAACTTAAAAGGTACTTGGCTACCATAACTTTTCTCTTTGTGCCCCCCCCCCCCCCCCCCCCCCCCCCGGTGGTGCAAGGAGACTGGGGTGGGGTGTGTGATTTTTCTCCTTGGCCTTCCCATCTCCCCTCCCCCCCCCGGAAAGTCCAGGTTTTTGTTCAGACATGGGGATTGAAACCCGCACCAAAGTGGGTTAGCTAAAGCTGCTTTGACACACGTTTTAGTCCTGTGTGGAAGTGCCCTCAGTTTCCAACTGGATGTGAACGGACAATGTTTAAAACAAGAAAGTAAAATGGAAAGGGATACTGAAAGAAAAACATTGGTTTGGAAGATTGCATTCCCACAGTGTCATACCACCTTGGTGCCACATGCTTTCAGAGGATGTTTGGATGGAGTAAAGCAAACAACATAACTCATCTTCTGAGGAGGATATGGTCGTAAGAAAATTACACCAATGTCAGCAATATGCAGTTTTGGTGCAGAAATCTATGTCCTGTTCACAGCCTTTTCACATTGAGCTCATTGTGACTCCCAAGACTAGTTCTGACACCTTCACCATCTCCAGCATAAAGTTCATCTTCAGTTTCAGTTTAGTTTTAATTTAAATGTGTATATTCTCCTATTTCTCTTTACCCTCTTTGTCCATGTAATTTTGGTATTTTTTATTCCTGTTCCTTCTCCTTGTGTTGCGCTCCATTTTGTTTTTCCTCTCCATACTTGCCACTTTTTTTCTTCCTATGCTATGTTTGCTGACTACTTTGTAAATTGGAGGTGCACACAGTTTTTCTATCCAGGGCCTCCTTCTCCAAGGCAATGACATGCCCAAGATTTCATGCAGGCAGTGGGCAGGACTGAATTAATGTGAGTGAGGTTAGATTTGCTTTTTCCTGTCTCTTTCTGCCATTCTCCTCTTCTTTCTCTCTCTCACACATTCATTTTTCTCCAAATCCAATGGTGTACTGAGAAAGGGTCAAATCACTCTTGCAGAGATCTGAACTTGTGCCTAGCAGGGGGCTTGTGAAATATTGCTGAGTTGCTACCCATCTGTTGTACATCTCATGACGCCCAATCATTCCTTACTGTTGAACCATCTTTCTTGATTCATATGTTTTCCACCCTTATTATAATTACTGTATTCATAATTACTTTTTTGATACCTTTCATCTCTTATCTTTTATCTGACGTCTTTCTTTTGCTTCTTAGTGTTGTGTGTGAAAAGCGTATTACTAGTTATTTTGCTTTTCTCCTTTCTTATTTTCTACTTTCAGTTGCTCCTGTTGCTCTTCAGTTTTAACCTTCTGTCCCTCTCTCTTTCTCTTTGTCTCTTGATAGGCAACTTTTTTTTTACTGTAAGTAAGCTGAAATATGTCTTGGCTTCTCGAAGTTTTCACTGGATTGTTGTGTTCTTGCTATTTCTATTTCTCTTTCATTTTCAGGTCAATGTTATATCCTCTGCTGCATGTTCCAGTTTTTCTGTAGTGGTTCAGTTTTTGTCCTTTCCTTTCCTGAAAGTGCTTAAGATATTTTTCATATCAGTTTTCTTCTTGTCAGAATCATATAATTGTTATTTTTATTGCTCATCATCTTTCTCCTGCTTTTACATGGCTGACCTTTTTGTTACTTTGTTCTTCCTAGTTCTGCGATATTGTTCTCTCTTTATTCTGTTCTTTCTAAACATGGTGTTGATGCGTCCCTTCTCCCTTTTAATGGTGTTCTTTTCTCTAACCTCACATTCTGTACATTTGAGATTCTTCCAGTTTGGCAAGTTTGAAACATTTGAAGAAGTGAATCATTGCAAACTGTACTTGGATGTCAGATTTCTATCTTGAATTAAATATTCAGCAAGACTCATTTCACCCCCCTCCCCAAAATCTTTCAACTTTTCATTATGCTTCTCTTCAGTCTTTAGCTCAAGCACAAACTTCCTTTTGCAATGTGTAGTTGCACAAATATTTTCTGTACTTACTTAGGTGATCTGTCGTAACTCAGGGATGATCGTATTCCAGATGTGGTGTCTTGGTGGTGGGTCCGTAGGTGGCTTCTTGATCTGAATGTTCTCCCACGGTGAGGACATTGGTTTCCAGATGGAAGATGGTCCCGATCAGGGTTGGCTTTATGTGCCTTCCTCTTGGCACGTTTCTCCCTTTCACCCTCCATTCATGCCTCTTCAGATTCTGCAGCACTGCTGGTCACAGCTGACCTCCAGTTAGAGTGCTCAAGGGCCAGGGCTTTCCAGTTCTTGGTGTTTATGTCACAGTTTTTGAGGTTGGCTTTAAGCCCATTGTCAAATATCTTTTCCTGTCCACCAACATTCTGTTTCCTGTTTTTGAGTTCAGAGTAGAGTAACTGCTGTGGGAGACGGTGATCGGACATTCGGACAATGTGGCCAGTCCAGTGGTGGAGGAGCATCGCTTCCAGCACGTTGACATTTGTCCACCTGTCTTCCCAATAGATTTGCAGGATTTTTCGAAGGCAGTGCTGGTGGAATCATTCCAGGAGTTGTGTATGATGTCTGTAGGCAGTCTACATTTCACAACTGTATAGCAGGGTTGGGAGGACAATGGCTTTATAAACAAGCACCTTGGACTCTCTACGGATGTCCCAGTCCTCAAACACTCTGCTTCATTCGGAAAAATGCTGCACTCGCAGAGCTCAGGCGGTATACTACAAGTTACATAGCAAATTAATATGAGACAGTAGTGATCTATCATCTCGATCCAATTCTATGACCAAAACCCATTAGGACCAAGGGCCCTTCTACATTAGATATAATCCAGATTATCAAAGTAGATAATACACATTATCTGCTTTGAACTGTATTATATCCGTTTACCTTCCCATGTAACCCAGTTCAAAGCAGAAAATCTAGATTTTATATGGCAGTGTAGAAGGGACCTGACATGTAACCCAATTTTTAGAACCAACTAGACTATACCCATTAATGGCAACTTAGTCAATTGTTATTTAATATAATTTCGGCTGCAGAAATTGGGACTAATAATTTAGTTGTGCAGAAATGTTTTGGTGTTCTAGGTCACTGAGCATGCTTTCTACATACGTTTTTCTGTCATTGAAGGCTTTACTTGACCAAAAAATAGGACTGCGTTCAGCAGACAAGTTCATTGTAGAAAGTGTTCCAGAAAGGTGAAGAACTGAAGGTTGACACATAAGCATCCTACACTAACCTCTTCATCCTCAGGCTTCTCAGCTCAGCAGGCATGTGAAGCTTTTATTCCTCCGCAAAGATACCAGTGAGGAAATACCTGATTTCTAATAGCTTAAGTTCAGATGGGCGTTAAGTTCAAATGAAATAATTGGATTTTATTCTTCTATTGTTTTCCAAATCACCTAGCCAGCATAACCACTGGGATTTTGGAAATTGCACCACAAATTCCCAAAAATTTTTGGGCTCTGGTTCTAAGCACAAAGCACTGTGACCTGCAATGGACAGGTGGCCTTTCTTGGCCTCCCACTGCTATACTTTAGGTTAGCAGTGGGCCAACGTGGACTACAAGTATCAGCAGTTCTAACCAGTATAGACAGAGGCAAAGGAGTATGGGTTTTTTGATCATCTGCTTGAGATGACAACAAGTGGAAATGGTTTTTAGGGAGTTCTGGGAGTCATAAAAACTAAGATGAATTCCCAGCCTAAACCCAGTAGTCAGGGAGCCTGTCTCCGATTGCAGGAACAGGATTAAGTTCTGTAAGACCCCCTTCTACACCGCCATATATCAAAGCAGATAATCCACATTATCTGCTTTGAACTTGATTATGTGAGTCTATACTGCCATATAATCCAGTTCAAACAAATAATCTAGATTCTGTATGGCAATGTAGAAGGAGCGCAAGTGTTATCTCTGTGTCCCAGAACAGGTATGTCTCTGTCAATGTCTGTCCTATGTTTTCACTTTATATGTGTGTCTAAGTAACCAAAAATCCACTCTAAAGCAGAAATTGTAACCATTTTACATAAATGAAATGAGAAAATCTTCTTTGCATACACCATAGGTTATACTGATGATATCCATTGCCCATAAATTCCAATTTGGAAAAGAAAGAGGAGAAATGAATCCAGAAAGCAGTGGAGGGAAAGGGTTGTGACAATAATAAAGATAACTTGTAAACATAGGAATTATCTCATTTTCTTACATTTGAAAGCTGATCGATGTCCATGTTGAATAAATGAAAAGAAAATTAAAAATATTTATTTATTTACTGTATTTGTATACCGCCTTTCTCAGCCAATCGGCGACTCAAGGCGGTTTCCAGCAATCAGTACACATAAAATCATAATACAGATTGAAACATTAAAACAGTATAAAACACAACAAAAGCAATAAAAACAACTCATTAGCGTCCCCTTATCGCCAAGCATTGTCCATATCCATCGTCAAGTCATTTGATTTCCTATGTTGGTTACTCTGTATTTGTAAACGCTTGCTCAAACAACCATGTTTTAACTTGCCTCCGAAATGTTAATAGGGAGGGAGCCAATCTAATCTCCCTAGGGAGGGCATTCCATAGCCGAGGGGCCACCGCTGAAAAGGCCCTGTCTCTCGTCCCCACCAGATGCACTTGTGACAAAGGTGGGACTGAGAGCAGGGTTTCCCCAGACTATCTCAAAGTCCTCGATGGTTCAGACAGGTAAGTTGGGCTGGAACCGTTTAGGGCTTTATAGGCCAAATCCAGCACTTTGAATTGGACCTGGCCGCATAATGTTAAGGGTGGCATAGGTGAACCAGAATCAAAGTTCTAGGTCAGATTATTGTGTTAATGTGGTGTTAACCTTCTGTTTTATAAGACTACTCTAAAGATTTACTGAAATAATAATGGTGAAGTAGAAATGCCAAGAATTTATAGTATTAATATTTGTAGTATTAATATTCTGTAATATTTTTCCCCTTCTATTTCTGTAGAAATTGCTCCCTGGTTACATATATTCAGAGCTGAAAATGCTGTTGACTTTTCTCAGATAGTGTTTGATCCCAGACAAAAAGAACTGATTGTTGGAGCAAGGTGAGTTATTTTTTTAAAGTTGTATTATGTCTGAAAGCTATATTTTCTTTTTTTCAATGTCTCTCTGAGAAAATATTTATTTTTAAACTGTGCAGCCTTTTCCCTTCTTTCAACATCTATCTGACAAAATACTTCTTTTTTATTCTGCGCTACTTCATTTTACATAGAAGAATACAGAATTCAGATGCTTATGTATCAGGTTTCCAAATCCAATACAGAACAGAGTTTCTTTAATCTGTTTATACTCAGAGGAAGTTCAGTGGGTGTTGCTTAGAAAGCATTGCTAGAAAGGAGTGACCTTTTCTAAGGCATGCAAGCAATCACAAAGCTCAGTCTTTGGAGTGCTTCCAGATGAGCTTTTTATTGTGTATATTGCCTTTTCTCATTTGTGGAATTTTACATGTGGTTTATAACATTGACTCCCATGTGTAACTCACCCATGTTTCCCCATTACTTTTTTGGCATTTCTTAATTCTTACATTACAGAAAATATATTAAAGAAAGCCAAAGAGTTGCATAGGGTCTTTCAATGGATAAAACTGGAAAATTTCCATCCAGCAGTGCTTTTGTTAGCTACTTCCCTAAGAAAACTAGTTCTAGTAGACATGGGAATATTTCAAAACTAAAGCTAAACTGCTCAGCTAGTAGAATCAGAAAGCACAGTTCTGGTGAGATTATACCATTTCTAAGGACTTCATCACACACAGTGAACTCCGTGTTTCTACACACTTTAGAAATGGCAACCAACATGTTAGTGTGGTATCACAAGTTTGTTTGACCTCTTCTTGTAGGAAAAAAAATCCCAACAACCTTTCAATACACACAGAAACAATGTATTAGGAGAAAAGTTAGGCCTTATTTTTGATACACTTGTATTTTCTATACAGGGAACATATTGTAAGGGAAACAATTAAATCTTACTCCAATAGTATGAGATAAAGTTAGATGGCCAGTTGAAACACCTCTTCGCCCTTTTTAGTACCAACATGCCTTCTCCTGAGGACATCCTTTTGAAACCCACCATGTTTATTTGGAGCTAGAACAGTGCCTGTGGTTAAGTGTGCCTATGATATAACCAACTCTTTCCAGTAGAACTGGATAACTGGGAATACCTATGGAATAAAGGATTCAAGTTTTCACTATCTGGATCAATAAGGGAGAATCTTTATAAAATGTTTTATAGATGGTATATTATTCTAGCAACATTGACAAAAATCGATCAATCACAACATGATATTTTCTGGAGGCATAGGAAATGGAAAGGGACATTCTTCCATATGTGGTGGACTTGTGAGACCATACAGGCATTTTGGGATAAAATAACTAAGGAGGCAAATAAAATGCTACATATTAAGATTTTTAAAAGTCCAGGGTTGTGTCTATTAGGTCTACATAGAAAAAACAATAATAAAAATGACAAAGAAATATACCAATATGGCATTCCTACTGCAAGATTAACCAAGACTGGAAAGGGGGAGAGAGTTTAACTTAAAAAAAAAAAGACTGAAGGGAAAGAATGTGGGAATATATACTAATTTGAAGTGCTGGCTTTAGCCTATCAAACCCTAAACAGTTCCGGCCCAGCTTACCTGTCCAAACGTATCTCTCCCTATGAACCATATAGAAATTTAAGATCATTTGGGGAGGCTCTGCTCTCGATCCCACCTTCTTCACAGGTGCGTTTGGTGGATACAAGTGACAGGGCCTTCTCAGTGGTGGCCCCTCGGCAGTGGAACTCCCTTCCCAGGGATATTAGATGCCCCCCTCCCTCCTGACCTTATGAAAAAAGTAAAAACCTGGCTCTTTGAACAAGCCTTTGGAAATGCAGTGCAATAAGCAACACAAAATTATACAAATTGAAACATGGAATGGTTTAGATGATGCTACTGGAAAATGAGATTAGCAGGAAGACACTGATTATTATATGTTTTTAATGTTTTTTGTATTGATTTTATAATGTTTTTAAAATGTTTTTATTGTATATTGTGGATTACTGTGGCATCAAATGGCTGCCAATTTGTAATCTGCCTTGAGTGCTTGAGAAAGGCGGGATCAAAATAGCATAAATAAATAAATAATGGCCAAATTAACAAATAATAGGCGGAACCAAACTAATGAGGACTTTTTGGAAAAGTGGAAGTTGGCCATGACATATTTGAGTGGGGAGTCAGTGACATAGAGAAGCACCATTAGAAATTTAGGATTAGGTTATGAACAAGGATAGATAAATTGGCTTAAAGTCTTCATAGAGCTTCAGTGTTGGAAGTCATGGTGAAAGGTGCACAGGTGTGGGAAAGAGGTTTTATTTTGTGTGGGGTATGGGTTTCGGGTGTGTGTGTGGTTTGTAATACATAGTTTGCTGTGGTTTGAATGTTATGGTGAACTCTTATATTAATAAAAAAAATAACACCTCAAAATTGATATAATCAACTTCTCCTTTCTTCAAATTTTCTCAACTAAACTTATAGTTAAGGGGAAATGTGTCAGCAGACGACTATATGTGCACACCTCCTTTTTAAAAAAACAATAGAGGAGCAAGAGTACCGTATATTCCGGCATATAAGACGACTGGGCGTATAAGACGACCCCCAACTTTTCCAGTTAAAATATAGAGTTAAGACGACTCCCATGCATAAAACTACACCCACGTATAAGACGACCCCTGACTTTTGAGAAGATTTTCTTGGGTTAAAAAGTAGTCTTATACGCCAGAATATACTGTAATTGTTGGATTAGTGTACCATTTGCTAGTATTTATGCCTGACATGTGGACTGTGAAACTGATCTACAAAAGGCTGGAGACCCTGCTGTCCGTCTTCCCCCGCAAATGGAGTTTAAACAAAAATACAGTCCTTTAGAACTGCCTTGTGAATTTTCAGCAAGAGGCACACACTGTCATTTTGCTTTGAACGTAGGCTCATACTAACCTTAAGTCAATCCAGAGAATAAAAAAATGAATGCTGCAAAGAATAAGAATTACAGTTACTTCAGTCTGCACAGCAGTACCCTAATTTAGGACACAATCGATGCAGATCTTAGCATGCTACAGCTTCCCTCTTTCTATTCTAACAGTTTGGGATCCAGCTGCCTGCAAATGCTAGCTGTCTTTCTAGAGGTTTTTAAGCTCAGGGTGAGTTTTAAAAATAGTGATTTAAGGAAGTGGCTTTCTAGATGATTCATGGTTTGTTTTGTCAGTTGCCATTTCCCCCCTCCCCCCCAGAAAAGCCAACAAAAAAGATACTTGCTAAAATGAACATACCCTGCAGCTTAACCAACTGCAGCATGAACAGAGCAAAGTTCTTGCTTATGCATGTTGCAATTATCTTCTGATGAAATTAGTGAATAATACCAATAATGAGGGGCAGTGCCAGGTCCTTCAGGGTTTTTCCTTCAGGTGTAAGTTCACTTGAGCTTCTCTGCTATTCTTGGGTGAACAGCCCCAGTAAAAAAAAGGCAGGGGAAGATTTTGGTGCAGGTAGGCTGTAAAAATCTCCTTTCTTGAAGAGATCATGAACCTGTCTGCAGATTTTGTTTCTCATTCTTGTGTCCCAACACATTTCCTTGTCCTCTCCTGGTTTTTTCTTGGCTTTTTCTTGTATAAATCTTTCCCTGTCTTGACTTGTCCTTTGGAAAGCAAAGCAAAATTGTTAGTGTGCATAGAAGAAAAGGCATGAAATCCAAAATAGTTGCGTAACCTTTTTCGAAGCCAAGACCACATCCAAATTCAGCAGCACAGGGGCAAAGACCATATACATGCGTATACACACGTACACAAACAGTACATGTGCCCCATCTCAGCATGTTTAAACCTTTCTTTCTTCCCTCCTGCTGATTTCTAGGAAGAGTCTCCAAAATTGCTTTGTTGAGCTGGCAATGCTGGCTGATAGTTTCTGGGAGTTTTGTGCTAACAAAGCAACATTTCTAAGCTCTAGATCTGAAGTGTATGAGTGGAAATAGAAGTCTCTTCTCTCTCTCTCTCTGTAAACACTGGCAGAGGAGATTTCTTTTTCAGATAAAGAGTGAGGTGTAAGTACTCACAACAATTAAATAAATACATAAATTGATATGCAGTGGGTAGTACAGTATTCCCTCGCTATTTTGTGGTTCGCTTATTGCAGACTTGCTGTTTTGCGGGTTTTTGCCCCCCTCCCCCCGAGCCATGGGGGGGAGGAAGGAGGAGGAAGGGAGAGGGAGCCAGGCACTGGGCCTTACCCTGGGGCTTGTCTCCGGGCTCATTGGTGGTGGCTTCCTCCTTCTACTCGCCTCTGCGGCTCCCCGCTCCTTCCTCGGAGGCCTCAGCCCAACCTGGCAGCACTATCAATAGTGCCCAAAGGGCCTCCGAGGCTGGAAGCAGCGGAGGCGGTGAGGAGGAGGCGGCTCTGTCTACTTGGCCTCAGTCCAGCCTGGAAGTGCCACCAAGGTCACCCAAGAGGCTTCCGTGGCCACAAGCAGGAAGAGGAGGTCGCCACCAAGTGGGCGGAGCGTCCCTACTTCACAGACTTTCACTTATCACAAGTGGTCCTGGCACGGAACACCTGCAATAAATGAGGGAACACTGCAGTATGTTTTCTCGATTAGCCCATTGGCCGTATAAAAACATTTCACAAACACATTTAATGCATACACATATAGCATATAACCCATACTACAACTTAAGTAAAAATAAACAAGCTGTTAACAAGGTCCCGATCAACATCAAATATCTGCATCACCTCTACAGTTATTCAGTTGGCGTTATTTTGCATTATTATTATTTTATTATATTTATTTATACCCCAGCCTTATTCCAAAATTGGGGCTCAAGGCAACCTACGTACAATAAAAAACCCCAATACGGATACAATCAGAAAGAAAATGTAAACATAAAAAACAGAATTGAGGTATTGATGTTCTATTATTTTATCATGCATCCAGATAACAAGCTACACCCACTGTAATAGTCCCTTCTTCACTCGTGATAGAGCAGTATTCTCATTTTTTTCCATTTGGCAACCTGAGGTGGAAGCTCTTTTGTTGGCTCTTCATCAGACTACATTGGGGGTGTTGAGAGGCAAAGGCAACCCATGGCTGTTCCATCTCTGACTTAAGTTATTAGTGTCTGTTCAGATGTAAAAACTAAAAGTGGAGAGCAAATACTTTAAAATGAAATGAATATTAAAGTTAGGATTGTCTGCTCCATCATATTCCCCATTTTTATGTATGAGAAAGCTGGGTAGTGACAACAAATGATAGTAAGAACATTGGCTCATTTGAAATGTGGTGCTGGAGGAGAGTTCTGCAAATACTGTTGTTAAAAAGTGAAATAATTGGGACCTAGGACAAATCAAGCATGAGCTTTCTCTAAAAGTCAGAATTGCTAAACTGTGACTCTTATACTTTTCCCATCTCGTGAGAAGACCTGACTCACTGGAAAAGATACGATAGTTGGTAGAATAGTAGGAAAAGAGGAAGACCACATTACAGAAGGATAGGCTTACCCAAGGAAGCCATGGTAGCCCTGATTCTGAAAGACCAGAAAAGGGTTGTTGATGATCGAGTGATTAGGTTTTTTTCCAGTTTTCTCATAAGTTGAAGTCAACTTGAAAACAAAAAGTGGCAAGGTATAAGTATCTATTCCATCCTTTTCCAATATCCCTCAATAATGAGATATGTCTAAGACTAATATCTTCAACTTCCCTCCATATATTATTTATGCAAAGAATGCTCAGTGTATGGAACAGGAAACAGAGCAGCAAAAAATCTGGCTTTGTTGCTCATGTCATGACTGCCCATATTTAGTTTATAAGCATAGAATTGAGAATGTGAGATCAAAAATGCAGTCTAAGTACGGATTGTGAGAAATCTGTATCATTGCATTACAGATTTCACGTTCTTACTTTTTACACATTGTCCATTTATAGCCCTGAGAGGATAGATGTGTGTGCGCTCATGTGTGTGTGTGTGTGTGTGTGTGTGAGAGAGAGAGAGAGAGAAATAGGATCTTTATTCAAAGCCGTGCTGGACTGAAACCCGTCTCCATCTGGATTTAATAATGGAGACAATACTGGTAAAAGAGCAGAGAAAAGAACATTTTAAAGAAAACATGAGCACCTCTACAGTAATATATGAAATTGCTTGCTTAATTATTTGTGATGCCTCCTGGTATTTTTGAAACAAAATATTCTCATATTTCTGTTATTAAAATAACTCGAAGCAAAGCATACATCAAATCTGTGTTACTTTTTTACATGCTTGTAACTGCAAGTGTGTTGTTTTTTGGCTATATGTTTCTTGTAACCAAAGAAACCAAGAAAAATAATGTAATGTCTTCCAAATAACATAAAATTATTTTTTTGCTTAATGTGACAATTCAAGGGGAACATTTCCAAAAGGAGGAACATATCATGTCACATTGCCTTCTACAGAGATGGTACATGCCATGGATCCCTCTCTGCTCAGAGAGTGATCTTATCTACACTAGCTGTCTAAGAAACGACCATATGTGAGTGGTAGAGCACATACTACACAGTCAGATGGTGCCAAATTCAGTCTTTGGTATCTCTGGTTACAAAGGTCAAGATAGTTGGTAATGAGAAAGGCCTGTACCGAGAGCTTCTGGCTGTTGGAGTATTCTGCACTATTCTAGTTATAGGACAGGTAGACTAATGGCTGGGAAGCTTTATATGTCCTGAGCAGGGTTGAGCAAAGCCTGAGATACACTGGGGTCCTCACCCATTTTAACAGATTAGCAGGTTCACATTCAGTTTTCCTCTCCCAGATGTTTTTGTTTTGTTAATTTTTATTTATTACTCTCAAAGTGAGAATTGCTGTCCTGGAAACCTCTATGAGTAGTGATTATCCTAGAAAGCAAGTCACAGAATCTTCCTTTAGTGAACTTGTGGTCACTTCTGAATTTGAAAAATGAAGCAAAACAATTTCCCTCATTGGTCAAAACTAACCTCCAGATCCACTAACATTGTCCAGTCTTGTCCTATGGGATCCTGCGGTTGGAAATGCTTAGTAGTGAATTTGATTCCTTATTTAAGGATGGTACTCACCTTTAAGGCCTTGCATGATGGTCTGGGGCCAATGTATCTGAGGGATCGTCTCACCCCCTACCAACCCCAGAGATCCCTCCGTTCTGAGGACCAAGATCTATTGGAAGTCCCTAGTGTCAAGACCTTGCGTCTAACGGCAACCAGACGCAGAGCCTTCACAGCAGTGGCACCATCAGTCTGGAATGCTCTGCCACCTGAAGTTCGTGCCCTGCAGGACTTACCAGCTTTCCGCAGGGCATGTAAGACATACCTGTTTCGACAGCCTTTTAATGTTTGATACTGTTGTTTTTAAATTGTTTTAAATGGCTTTTAAACTTTGTTAGATTTTAGCTATTCTTGTAAGCTGCTCCGAGCCCCAGGGGAGTGGCGGCATATAAGTTTAAATAATAAATAAATAAATAAATAAATAAATAAATAAATAAATAAATTTATTCACTGTACACACTTTGCAACCGCACTGTAGTCTTCTTTTTGTCACTTATCATTATTTTAGAGCCTATGGACACAGCAAGTGATCCTCTGGAAAACTGGCTTATCACTTTCTTTCCAATCTGGCCACTGTGTTTAAAATTAGCACAAGCACCTGAGATTCATGTTCCCTAATTCACCTGCATACTTTGCATACTTATTGCTTTTTCTCTCTCTCTCCCATCTAGAAACTACCTCTTCAGGTTACATAGTGAGGATCTTTCTCTGATCCAGGTAAGATTTTCTTGGTATCAATTCTGTAAAAATACATGGGCAGTTGGCTTTTGCTGTGTATCGGTTGCTTCTTTTCTTCTTTTTTATGCCAGTTAGCTTTGGGGCCCAAATTTATACTCTCGTTAATAAAATTGCTGCTAGCTGTTAACCATTTAGGATCAACAACCCCATACCCCTGTTGCCTTCTGTCCTTGGCATCTAGTTTATTTCATAGAGAGTTTGTATTTTCTGGCATGAAAGACCTTTTTTTTTTGGTCATGTAAATGCCCATCTGTTGTATGATATAATGTCATTCGGAGGACACAACTACAGCAATGGAAATAGTAAAAACCCAGAAGGTGAAAGCTATACACGATTGGGAGAGGATTTCAAAAGGAATTTGGTATCACTGGAGAAGCCATGATCTCTTCTCTAAAGTTATTGGAAGGTAGAATGGCTCCTTAAGAAGCATTCAGAAAGACAAAAGATAACACATTTTGCCTACGCTAACATTTCAAAGTTGACTTCTATACATATAAGTTAGCGTAATGTCCTATACTCTAGTACAAGGGTCCTCAAACTTTTTAAACAGAGGGCCAGGTCACAGTCCCTCAAACTGTTGGAGAGCCGGATTATAATTTGAAAAAAACATGAATGAATTCCTATGCACACTGTACATATTGTAGTGCAAAAAAACACTTAAAAACAATACAATAATTCAAATGAAGAACAGTTTTAGAAAATATAAACTTATTAGTATTTCAATGGGATGTGTGGACCTGCTTTTGGCTGATGAGATAGGATTGTTGTTGTTGTATGTTTTCAAGTCGTTTAAGACTTAGGTTGACCCTTAGCGAGGGCCAGGTAAATGACCTTGGAGGGCTGTAACCATCCCCCGGGCCTTAGTTTGAGGACCCCTGCTCTAGTCAGTAAATGACCCAGGAACCAAGTGGTTGCAGTGCAAGGACTGTTGCATATTAATTAAGTAAATAGAATAGTGATTCTCAGGCTAACTGACATGGAGGGATAACAATAATATTTTCTCACTGTATGAAGCACCAGCACAAACTGGTTACAGTTGTTTCTTTCTTTTCTGGAAACTTACCAGGGACCAAAACCTTTGAGTAGCATTGGGATTATCCTTTATGTCGCACAACCACCCACTTGAAGCTGTTGAGAAAACATACAAAAGCAGCCACATATACAGACAATGGTAGTAACATCTGATGTCCATAATCACATTGTTGAGAGATAAAAGGAAGAGCTTTTAGTTATGGCTTTGATCATATAGTCTTGCTTTTTTTTAAAAAAGGAAAGAAGTACAATATGTGCTTTCAGCCACCAATAATAAAATTTTCCCAGATAGATTTTTTTTTCTTAGCGAAATCAACATAAATGTGTTTTTCCCTGGCACCAGCTGTCAAAGGAAACAATAATAAATATGTAAAAATATATTTGAGCCACTGTAGTTCTGTAGCACATGGCCATGTGGACTGAATGGACAGAAGTTTTAGTTTATGGTTCTTCATTATATAAAGCTCTACTTAGATGTGGGCTGATGTGATTTAACTGTCATAGCTAGTATATCCAATTGTTCATGGGATTTATGCATTTGGAAGTTGGAGACCTTTTTAATGATTCTTTTCATGGTATTATAGAAATATAGTGAATTTTAAAATCTTTTTTGTATCCTTTGGTAATATTTTTAATGCTAGTTAAGATAAATATTTGTAATGTTTGTGTGTGTGGCATAAGTGTACATGGAACTTCACAGTGAAATATAAAGCAAATTTATTTTTGCAGCAAAACTGTGGACTGCATGGAGACAGTAAAGAGAAAGGAAGGGTGCATACAAGTCCTGTCCATTTTCATTTGAAATGACATTGAAGAGTGAAGCTCAAAGGATTCCCATTACAATGGGTCAATAACTGTAGTGTGATCCACTACCCTGGATGATTGGGCTCAGCCTGTTCAGCCATGGAAATGAATAGGGGCGACCTTGGGCACATCACACTTGCTTAGCCTTAGATCAAGGAAATGGAAAATCTCCTCTGAATAAACCTTGACAAAAAATCCTGACCTTAGGGTTGTCATAAGGTAAAGTCAACTCAATGGCACATAGCAACAACAATTAATTTGAAAGCAAAACTTATGGTTTTTGAAAACATTTTGACTGATGGTAATTTCTGTTCTGCAATGGCAAAATTGAATATCCTTCTAGAGTACTTGCATAATACAACATCCTGTATCAGGTATGGGCAGCTTATGGGCCTTGAGATGATTTTGGACTGCAACTTCCATCATCCCTACCCAGCAAAGTCCATTTTGAAAAATGATAAAAGTCATTGTTCATCTAAATCTGGAGGTGTATCTTATATTAATTTGTCCAAGGGTTGGGATACATAGGTTCCTTATTGCTGGCATACAGGAAAACAGTATATTTTTAGACGTCATGTCCTAAAGTGTAACATTTTTACTCATAATTGCATTGCACAGGCCTTGGTCAGATGCAAAGTTCACCTTTTAACTTTCCTTTTAAAAGCATGTATGGATACCCATAAATGCCCTGTCTAATTTTAATTACAAACTTTGCCTAACAGAAGATCACAGCATGTGCCAGCAGTTCAACAGCATTGTTCCAGAATCCTGCCAAGCATTGCTAAAGGGTACAGTGGGAAGGAAATGCCAAATATATTCAAACACATTATGACACAGCTTGAAGTGGTTTCTCTTAGTTGCTTCTCAATTGTATTTTGAATAATTCTTATTGCATCTCGGAGAGGCCCACAGTTGTAATGTGTTGGTAGCATAACTTTTAAAAAATCAATGTGAAATGGGGGCTGTTCACTGGAGTTGGAATTACTACTGAGTTCTGCCGTTGACGGCACAGTCAAAATTTGTGCAACAACCCTGAAAAAAGGCTGTTATGTTAAGAATTGTTAGGAAATTGATTGAAAGGAAGATACCCAGTATTAGTCTTTTATATAATTTTATGGTATGGATGCATGCAATTCTAGTCATTCCTTACTGACAAGAGTATCATAGATTTAGAAAGAAGGGTAACCAAAACAACCAGGTATTGAATTATTTTCCATAAATGATTAAAACATTCTGAGCTTTTAAGTTGAGGCAAAAACCCAAAAACGCTTAAGGTAATTAAGAGAAATATGTAGAAATGACATGTAGTGTGGGGACTGTAGGTAGAAGATTTGTTTTTTCTTGTTTATAATAGTTTAATTGGGAGCTCAGGGTTATCCAATAAAATAGGCTAGATTTAATGTATTGTCGAAGGCTTTCATGGCCGGAATCACTGGGTTGTTGTAGGCTTTTTTGGGCTATATGGCCATGTTCTAGAGGCAGCTAGAATGCCTCTAGAACATGGCCATATAGCCCGAAAAAACCTACAACAACCCAGGCTAGATTTAGTTTCATAACCAATAACAAGTCATGAAACTTGTTATTTCTGTACTTGTTAGTTCCTGAAGAAATGTCTAAGATTCACTGTCAAGAAATGTGGACCTTAGACCTCTTTCAGGTAATAATAATAATAATAATAATAATAATAATAATAATAATAATAATTTTATTTCTTAACCACCTCTCTTTACAGCTCGAGGTGAGTTACAACATTGCTAAAACACAGAATCAAAAAACATAATTGTCTAAAAACACTCGGTGGAATATACTATTAAAACATATTTTCATAAAATACATATTAAAATACACAAAACAAAAATTATACACAGAATGGAGTTGGGCAAGTTCTGGGAGGATAGCAGAGTGAATTCTACATGCTTAGAAGCAATATGCCCATGCAACCCGTAACCCTAGTTGCTTCTGTGCCATGCCTGCCTGTTGACTTCCCAAAGGCATCAAGATGACCTCCTAAATGTGCCAAAGCAACTACCCTTAGATCAAGTGAGATTTTTATTAAATAACTAAGGTAAAATATGCATGTTACAAGAAAATTAGATGATAGTCTAGAGAATAATTTACTAGTTAGAGAACTGACGGGGAAGTAGTATGTAAATATCTGTGGATGGGATGGGATAACAAAGAATTATAAACAGTAATATCTCATATAATGTGAAAACTTTTTAAATTAATAATCAAAACAGTGTCCAACGGTGCTGTCCACTGGTGTCGTCTCTGATGGTATTGAAACATAACTATATTGCAATAAAATAGCTTTAGAGTCATGTTGACTGTCAACCAGGTCAATGTAGCTGGCACCCAGAGAATGAAGGCAAGATGAAGTTGGACATATTTATTTACAGTATTATTTATTTACAGTATTTATATACCGCTTTTCTCACCCCTAGGGGGACTCAAAGTGGTTTACATATAGCTGGCAAAATTCAGTGCCTTACATTGGACACTGACCGGATGCCAATCCATAATAATTACAATAATAAAACCACAATTAAGCATAAATCATAATTAGACAGTACATAAGCAATCATTAAAACAATAAATAATAAAAACAGTCTTGCCAGTCGTATTGTCATTCTAGTCCATGTCCTTTAAACTCTACAAACATCTACTGTCCGAAGGCCTGGTCCCAAAACCATGATTTTAATTTCTTTCTAAAAGCCAGGAGGGAAGGAGAAGATCTTACCTCATTTGAGAGTGTGTTCCATAGGTGAGGGGCCACCGCTGAGAAGGCCCTGTCTCTCGTCCCCGCCAGACACATTTGATATTAGATTACAAGATGGGACATAAGAGTGGATCTGTTCAGACAAGTAAGCTGGGCCAGAACTGTATATTTATTTATTTCGGGCACTTCTACCCCGCCCTTCTCAACCCCCAAGGGGGGACTCAGGGTGGCTTACAACCGGCACAATTTGATGCCAACAATTCAACAGATAAAATACATAACTACAATAACCACAATAGTTAAAAACAATTAATTAATACAATAACAACTATAGACTGCTCCTTATGCAGAATACTAATGGTCTTTGAAATTCAGCTGCAAAAGTAGTGATGGCCATTTCTAGTATCCTCTTACATCAAGAATT